AACCGACGTGTGTCTAGAAAAAAAGAGTCAGTCGACTTATATTTTATACATAACATCAGTGACATTAAAACCCTAGGAAATACTAATGATTGGTAGGTCATTTCAAAATTTTGTTGCCTTATTGTCTTAAATACTTGGAGATAATCTGATACAGACTTAATTAAAGATTGATACTTTTTTGTTGGGAACTGAGCCGTCTCCCCTCTTAGCTCTGTTGGTTGGGAATGATCAGCCTGTGGCTGTTATAAAAAATGTTGCTTCTTAGTATCCCAGAACTCTCTAACTCCTGCAGAGGTACATGGGATCATTTTTGTTTCTTGCCTGTAGTCATCATAAAAATGAACAGAAGAAAATAAATTTTTTTCTTTTCTTCTTTTCTTTAAACTCTTTAAAAGGTGAAATGTCAGCCTCCGGAGACTCACTTGCTAACTCCTTTTTTCTTTTCTTTTTTTTTCTTTTTTTTTTTTGTGTGTGTGTGTTTCTTTTTTCTTTCTCTGTTTTCTTACATGGTTCTGGTGGATTCACATTTGCTGCTGCTGGTGCTGTTTTTCGTGTGACCTTCAACGCTTTTGGGTGACCACCGACCCTGTGACTTCAAAATGGTGTCCAACTAACCACTTAAAATTAACATCTTTTTTTTTTTAATTAACGAATTTATGGTATTATCTTTTTTTCTTGTCGGGGAACGGGGTTTGGGTGGTTCTTCTCTGTTCTAGACTATCCAGCCAAGAAGATGAAAACTACGGAGAAGGGGTTCGGCCTAGTGGCTTATGCTGCAGATTCGTCGGATGAAGAGGAGGAACACGGAGGTCATAAAAATGCAAGTAGTTTTCCACAGGGCTGGAGTTTGGGATATCAATACCCATCATCGCAACCTCGAGCTAAACAACAGATGCCGTTCTGGATGGCCCCCTAGGAAACAGTGGAACAGAGTTTTGACCCTCGGTGACTCTTCTTTAGCAATAATGCATGCATTTGATTTAACAAGACTTTGGCCTGTACTGGGAACCATCATGGACCTTTGCAGAAGTTAGAGGTGCAGCATCTCCTTTCTTAAAAGGGTTTCATTCTTTTTTAAAATACCCTTTTTTCTTCAGTGGCATAGCATCTGTTAAAATTTACGTAGGATCACAAATTTGTCTCAGACCCTTTTTTTTAAACACTTGGTGAAATGTGCATCCCATTGGGGTCATTCCAGTGTACATTTGACCTGGTCTGGCCTTTCCAAATGAATAGCCCCTATTCGGACGTAGACAGTTTTATTTGTATTTTACTACTGTTTGGTCAATTTTGATAATAACTTGTTACAAACCAAGCCTTACTGTTTATTAGTGGGAAAATGATTTTAAGACCATCCTTTCCTTTCAGTACTACATTTACGAATTCCTAATCCCTATTCCATTTTTGGATTCTTTCTGTTTTGGAAAGTGCGATTTTACTAATTTAAAATTGTAAGATATAGCTGGATCCTGGGTAGGAAAATGAAGTTATTTTTTTCATTGTGTCTTTTTTGGGGGATGATCCAAAGCTGGCACCTTCAGGCACACTTGTCTCAGATAGCCATTGCTGTTTTTATTGCTCTTCTAAGCTCTTGTCTTCAACTGGGTCAGAGAAAACTCATTGATCAAAAGCTGGTGCGAATTTATCATAGAAATGAAACACAGTGGTCTGTCTCTCTCAGAACTGGTTGCAGCTAAAATAGAGAGATTTGACTGCTCACAATAGGATGGTGGACTTAGTGACTGAAATTACAGCTGTCCTTTTTCTTGGCATTACAGGTTTTGCCAAAAGAACTTTTTTGTATCAAATACTGATGTGTGAAAGTGAAGGAGCTAGTCTGCTGAATCAGTAGTTTGAGATACTGAACTGTCATTTTTGCACATTTGAATACGTTGCAGGCTGGCTTTGTATAAACTTATCCTCTGGTTTCCTATATGTTGTAAATACTTAGACCATAATGTCATTATAAATAAATGTATAAATATTGTGCTTGTGGTTTCTCTGTTCTTTATTCCACAACCCATCCATACATTAAAATTCATAAACTTAACAACTCATAGCACAATGACATTCTAACCCCTCCAGAAAAATACATACATGGACCCAAAAGTTTGCATACAGTTCTATGAATTTTATGACTTTCCAAAGTAAACCCTTAGGAGTCCAGATGAAAATGTAAAGGGCTATATGCTGAATGTTTTTCATTTTCATATTTTAGCCCTCCTTTATTAAACCTGGTTAAAGGGACCGAGTGAATGAAACACTTTTTTATTTTTTTATTTTTATTGATTTCAGAGAGAGAGGAAGGGAGAGGGAAAGAGAGAGAGAAACATAAATGATGCCCGGCCGGGCGTGGCTCAGCGGTTGAGCATCGACCTAGGATCCAGGCGATAAGGGTTCGATTCCTGGTCAGGGCACATGCCCAGGTTGTGGGCTTGATCAATGACTCTCTCATCATTGATGTTTCTACCTCTCTCTCTCCCTCTCCTTTCCTCTCTCTGAACAGTCAATAAAGATATATTTTAAAAAAAAAAGAAAAGAAGAAACATCAATGATGAGAGTCATTGATTGGCTGCCTCCTGCGTCCCCCTGCTGATGATGGAGCCCTCAACCCAGGCATGTGCCCTAACCAGGAATTGAACCTCAATCTTTTGGACCTTAGTGCTGAACCCCTGAGCCAGGCTGGCCAGGCTGAATGAAACACTTTTAAAGAAAATGCAAATTATTCTTGGAAAAACACTAAAAAAGGAAGTAGGGTCAGCAGCAGTTTCAACAGAAAGATTTCCTGGTGCGAAGTTTCTCCAGTACCTGTACCTGAAGAGTATTAATGTCATTTATTTCCATATTCAATTCAAGGCGACCTGAAAATTCAAATTTGACTTCCTATTGGAGGGTAGTTCATTTGTTTAAACAAAAATTATTTTAATAGGTTTCATTTACATATGTAAATCTAGGAGATTGAGGTTTGATTCCCGTTCAGGGCATATGCCTGGGTTGCAGGCTCGAGCCCCAGTAGGGGGTGTGCAGGAGGTGGCCGACCAATGACTCATCATTCATGTTTCTACCTCCGTCTCTCTTTGAAATCAATAGATGTATTTAAAATGTGTGTGTGTAGAACTCAGGCCCTGGCCAGGTAGCTCAGTTACTTAGAATGTCCAGATATGCCAAGGTTGTGGATTCAATCTCCAGTCAGGGCACATACAAGAATCAACCAATGAATGCATAAATAAGTGAAACAATAAATCGACATTTCTCTATGTCCCTCTAAAATCAAAATACAGAACTCCAGCAATTTTCAACTGGTGTGCTAGTGTGCGGCAAGAATTTTTAAAACATGCAATAGCTCACTAATCAGAGGCACTGACCTCTTTTGCCTTAGATTGTCAAAATGGCAACAGCTAAGAATAGCCATCTGATGTGAACTTATCAAAATTAATACATATTTTGTCATTAGCAAAAATAGTTTTTGGTGTGCCGCAGAATTTCAGTAATTTAAGTGTGCCATGAGCTGAAAATTGCTTGAGTAGAACATCTGGTCTTTAAGACTTGATGCACTGTTTTCTGGAGCGAAAATCAGTTATTCCTCTGGGGAAATTTGCTTTTTCTGCTCTTACAGGGGAAGCTTGATCTCTGTTTCGGGGGAGGATTTGGTGGATGTCCATTTCCTGTTAACCCTTACATTTGGCCAAACTAGTTTATCACAAGCAGCAGACAGCCCCTAATAGTTACTCACTTTAGAGGTCGTCTATGTGTCCCTTATCACGTCCAATATCCCTTTTTTCCTTCCTATGTGTGTGTTGATTGATTTTAGAGAAACAGATGAGAACCATCCATCAGCCGCCTCCTGCCCGCCCCCTACTGGGGGTCGAGCGCGCAACCCTCCATCTTCCTGGGACTTGCGTGAACAATTGTAAGCTTTTGTAGGTCCGTGCTTGATACTCTAGCCGCGGGCGCTGCGTCGCGGGATCTGGGTTAGAGACCCGAGGGCGCTCGTCCCTCCCCCGAGGGGGCGGGCCGCGGTGCGTCACGGGGCAGGGCCGTCCCTCTCCCACCCTCTGGCCGGTGGCGCCATCTTCCCGGGCTGTGGGAGGGGTCACAGGTCAGCGCCGGAGCGCAGCTGCGAGGGAAGGAAGACGGAAGGGTGGCTGGACCCGGGCGGCCTTCGCGACCTGAACGGTACCAGCGGCTGGGGTCCCGG